TTATTGGTACATTTTAGGTATACAGTATGTTTACATTTATCATTGGGTGCTTGTACCTGTACATGATGTATCTTGGTTCTTATTTTTTCCCCATTCTGAGAAGGAATTTTAATAAACCCTGTTTCTTTTTTTTAACTTGCAACTCATCAAATAACAAATTTTTGTGCTGTATATAAACTTGAAAAGTCACTTTGAAAATTACACTGATAACAAGTAATATTAAAACATTTTAGAAATATTTCTTGAAGATATTTTGGGGAAAATTACTCTTTGAGTGCTGAGGAGTGGGGGACACTTACAAAATACTGTGTAGGCCATGCCCTCTAGGAGATTAGAGTAGAATATAGGCCATTATCAAGCAGTCTTCTATTTATTAGTAATATCTAGAAAAAGTAAATGTTTTGTGAATTTATTTGGTGCCTACCATGCCACTCATTTGACCCTATTTAAAAATATAGCTGAGATGTTGCTTTGTCCCGTTGCTTCTCCTGACTTTAGGCAGAGACTAGAGATATGAGAGAAGATGTGCACAAGAAGATGTGCAAAGATGTAGCCCAACTGGGAACTTAAAAGTTAATATTTTCACTTAGCTAATCTACATTTTGCTCTTATAGGTGAGATTTTTCTTTTTTCCCTCCTACAGTAGTCTTTTAGGTATTAAATAGAGTTAATTACAGGGAGTGTCCAGTTTTTTGCTTGAGGCACAGTGGATGTAATAATAAGGCACATCTTCCGCTGCCTGCCTCGTAAGTGGAAGGACCCAAGTTCGATTCCTGGTACCAAAAAAAAAAAAAAAACAAAAAAAGTAAGGCACATCTTCTATTAGTCTGTAGCATGTTGCAGTATATTTACAAGAGCATATGATAGAGCAGAAAGGCTATTTATACTCTTAATTTCACTTATGGGAATTTCTCTTTGCAAATTGGGAAATTTTGAGAAAGTAGGCTTATGTATTCTCTTGTAAAGGGAAAAAAATGTTGTTTTGAAGAACTTGTTCCTAAAATTTTATATTACCTTAGGTAGCCATTTATACAACTTATTTATAGTTTCCTCCATAGAAATTTGAAATTTTTTTGTTTTGTGTGTGTTGGGAATTGAACTTATGGCCTTGTGCTAAGCACATGCCCTAACACTGAGCTATGCCTCTAAGTTCTTTGAGCATTTCATATACAAGAAACAGTATATAGTACATAAAATAAGAGTTTAGAGTGAAAGATAATCTACTTTGAAAAAAGTATATTGAGACTTGGTATTAGATTTTGTCATTCATTCCTTAATCTTAAAGTATTTTTCTTCTACAGGATTCTAAACTGCCTTCCTCAGTTCGCAGCACACTTCTGGAACTGTTTGGTCAAATAGAAAGAGAATTTGAAAATCTTTATATTGAAAACTTAGAATGTGAGTACTCCTATCAATATACTTTTTAAACTTTTCACCTATCCATAGAAATCTTGAGAGTAAAGTTTTCCAGTAGATGTTCATCACTATATTAGCTTTCTGTTCAGTTGTAATGAACTTAGTGGCTTGAACTAACATGAATTATTATTTTACAATTCTATAGGCCCAACTTGTTCTCAACCAGACTAAAGTCAAGTTATTAGAACTGTGCTTCCTTTTGGAGGCTAGGGATGGGCATTTCCTGCTTGTTTGTACTGTGATAGAATTCAGTTCCTTGTTTTTAGGACAGGTCCACTTGCTGTACTCTTTGGCATGTGGTCCCTCTCTGCCTTGGTGATGGATACTCTTGTTGTGTCTCTTACCTATTCTCTTTCCCCTATAGAAGGGTACATATGATGATCCCTTAGATAATCCAGGGTAATCTCCCCACTTGCAGAGTATCTTGTGAGGTTATATTTATAATGCTGTGAGGCATCTTTGAGGGGGCTGTTATTCTGTCCACTGTACCTACCCATCCAAATAGTGACTTTATTTAAAAAACACATTTTATTTTTTCTACCCTAGGTGTACTGTATGTTGAGGAAACTTAGATTCATATTTTTCTTTGACATAGCATTGTTTGAAAGTTTCTTAAAATATATGTATCATCTGATTTATTGAAGGAAAATAAAAAAATTTGAATTAGCTTGGCTTTAGTTTTTTTAGTGCCTGCATATGCTCAAAAAGTCAAACAGTATAAAAGGAGATGGTATTTACCATTTACCCTTGGTCCCATTGTATTCTTCAAAGAAAAACATTCTCTCCATTTTTTCCCCTTTAGTTCTGGTGATTCCTATAAACAAAAATAATCTACTTTCAGTTTTAGATTTACTCAGTTTAGGCTGTATGCATTAATGTTTAACATGAAATGTTAGGAAACACATGTATCTTTTACTCCTTTTCTTGTTCCATTACTTAACAGTTTTTATTTTTATAGGATTTGTGTTATAAGACATATATTTTACAAATTATAGTCAAGTCTTTTCCTGCTTTAAGTTGATTCCAGAAGTTGAATACCAACAAACGGCATTTACATTATTAAGCTACCTTTTTAAAAACCTAATAACAAGTGTGTTTATAAAGAGAATGTAATTGAATGTCATTTAAACTTTGCTTTGTCTTGACAACATTCATATATGACATTTATGTGTCTTCAGGTTTTGAAAGTGCTAAGTGTACTTAAATAATATATTTTATGTTTTCGAAAATTTATTTTTATTCTCAGTGCGTAGAGAAATTGATACTCTTAATGAACGCTTAGCTGCTGAGGGACAAGCGATTGACGGGGCAGAACTGAGTAAGGGCCAACTCAAAACGAAAGGTAAGGTGAATGCTTATTAAAGTGTTGTCCTACAGATTATCAGACAAAGTTGAAATTTGATGAAGGACACTGACTCATTTGTTTTTTGCTGTGAGCAAAACTTAACATAATTTAGGTGTGGGTCTAGGGGAGTAAAGAGCCAAGGAGCATGGTCCTTGCTTCAATTCTACTGTTGTCTGCATTTCACTGTGGGGAAACGCTTCTGGGTTTCACTTTCTGTGTGAGACAAAGATCCACTTTTCAGTGCTGTAGTTCTTCAGTTGTTTGATTGTCAATTCTCTGTCTCTACAGCTAGTCACAGTACCAGTCAGCTTTCTCAGAAACTAAAGACCACTTACAAGGCTTCCACCAGCAAGGTATGCAGGGCGCTGGCTCTTGAACCAGTCATGTGGTGTTTAAGGTGTGCAGATGTGTACTTTAACTTGCATATTTTCCAGTTAGAAATGTGTAATAGTAAAAGCTAAATGTCTGATTTCTGGGGAAATTTAATTTTTAAAAAGAATATCATATAAGTGGCCACAATATGCAGATGCTTAGATATTAAATTGCTCTAATGATCAGTGAGATCAATATAATATGTATAAGTAAATGTATTGTTTTTAGAGTAAAAATATAGTTTTTACATTTGGAAAAGGCTGATAAGTATTAGGAAATAAAAATTATGTTTTGTGATAACGTTACATTTTAGTTCATCATCTTTTTAAAAATTTTCTAAGTATAATGTGGAAGTAAAGGTCTATCTCTGAGGGAAATAGAGACATTTGTGGAATTGTGTTTTTTCTTCAAGTATCTTGTGCTGATCCTTTTAAAGTGGCAAGGATTTAATTGCTTGGGAAGTCATTTTCTATGAGGAAGCAGTATTTTGAAGTAATTTTGTATGAATCTCTCTACCTTGGAGTATTTCAAGTATGTACAAGATTAAATTACCTAACCTTAGTAAATATATATTCCTTTGGCTAAACCTGAGAGAAAGAATGAAATTTACAGTAAGTCTACTATTTTTTTTTTTTTTTTTGGTACTGGGGATCAAACTCGGGTCCTTGCGCTTGCGCAGCAGGTGACGAAACCACTGAGCTAAATCCCTGGCTGTAAGTCTACTGTTAAGGCATAGTTATTAACTTTATTTTTCTAATTTGTTCTCTTGAGCTTAAAGTTATTTTGTATCACAGCTACAGCTACAGGACAAATTCAATCTTCTTGCTATTTCTCCTTATTTGAAAGTCTTTAGTAAATGTTATTTAAAAGAAAATATGAATATTACTGACATTTCCTACTGTTTGTTTTGATAACATCTAGAATGTAAGTTGCTTGTTTGATTTTGATTTTTTTGGTTATATCTTGCTCACACAATTAGTTTTGAAATTTTTAATGTTAACTTTAAACTTTTTCTTCAGAATGAAATATGAAATTAAGTTCTTCCTCATTTAATTACTCTCTATGTTATCTTGAAATATATTGCTTATTCTGGTGTTACAGATATATATATTATATTATATATATGTATGTATATATACACACACACACACACGCACACACGCACACACACAAAATGTTGGTCTAAGAATTCCAAAACTCTCTAAATATTTCTGAAGTAGAGAAAGAAAGATATAAAATTATCCTTTACCATGATCCTTACCATATAAAGGTAAGGATATATACAATAATCCTTTGCTTTTAAAAAATATATTAGCAAAGACTCAGTCATTTTAGGACTAGCAACTCATCTGAATTTATGAGAAATTTATAAGCATTTTGCACATTGTACTCATCTTAAAAAAAGTATTAAAAAGATGATATATCTGAAAATTGAGGAAATAGTTTGGTAACATTATATTCTGATTTGTACTATAACATGGATTCTTGGTATTAAAACTAAGCATGATTGCAACAAGAAAAATGCCACAGTATAGATTCATTACTTTCCCTCCTTCTGACTCAGAGCCCTGAAGGGCAAGTAACATGTTTGGTGAGATAGTGGGGTCACAAAAGTATATTGAGTAAACATATATTTTCCTCCTTCCTGGGTGCCTGATGACATATTTCTGATGTTTTGTTGGGAGGGAGGTAAGGCAGCCCTAACCTGCAAACTGCCTTAGAGAAAGTTGTGAAAATGTTTGCAGATATTTTTATAAAATATTTTTCATTGTGAAAAAAGCCATTTCTGATTTTTTTAAAAAAATGCTTACATTGTATCTCAGTTGAAATGATTTAGGATGACAGGAATAAGCGTCATTTAGTTACTTCGTTGTGCTACTTTTCTGTCTGATGTTCCTTCTAAGTAACATTGTTAAGCCTGTTTGTAATTGTGACTTAAGTCGATGTTTTTAGGAACGAAGAGTTAGTTAATAAATGATGCTCAATGTAATGAACATTTTTGAAGCAACATATGAGAATATATGTTAACAATATTCATAAACAGCATATTGTCATCGTCCAAAATAACACCAGAATTACAGCTGAATGCTCTTGGCAATAACCCTTTCTTTTACTTTGTAAATGGGGTAGGTGAAAAGTATGGCTCTGGTAGTTTCTTATAGTAATGTTCATATTAGAAATGGTGAGCGACTTGGAACATGAAATTTACTATAACTTATTACGGGGGAAGTTTTAAGTAGTTTAAAATTTCACTCTTTCCTAAACTGTTTAATATTATTTGACATCAGAGTGGCACTTTTGTAAGCAAAAGCACTTTCTCATGTTGAGTGATAATTTTGCTGGGTTGAATAGGCTGAATAACTTTCAGAAAGAAAAAAAGATGATGAGTTTGAGGTTGAACATTTTCTTTTATGTTTTCTGTTAAAGTGAAACCACATCAAATAGAATCTGTTTAGATTGCTGGTAAAAATGTTGACTTCCATCACCATTTGTTTTAGTCTTTCACTGTATTAGGGACATAATTTGAATGGTCATACCCAAATTAATGTAACTAGATTGTGCTTTGATGCATTTATGTAAGAATGAATTTAGATACTTTTTTTCCCTCGGGCTTTGCTAATTCACTGTTTAAAATAAGCTGTATTATCCCTCTGATTTTTGTTTTTAACTTGGTTTTATGGTTTCCTTCTTCCAAGTCATTTACATTATTGTGATTTACTTAAAAGCTTTTTAAAAAAACATCCAAGGCCAATTTAAAAACCAAACTCTGAAGAAATCTTTGAGTTTAATTAGTTCCTTACTCACTTTGTATTATTCCTTGTAAGAGAAAATGAGAATTGTCTGTCGTATGTGTCATTTATATGAGATAGTACCTTACTATGTGTATACTGCATTGTCTGTATTGTTTTTATGTCTGTCTCCCTGTGGACTGTGAGCTTTTGAAAGCCAAGGACCCCATGTGTCACTTAGCTCTGTCTCCTCCATCTAACACAATGGCTGGTTTCGAGCAAGTGCCCAATAAACAATCTTGAATAAACCTGCTCATCTGTTATATGTGTCATCTTTTGATTCCTCCCCCGGCATGGGCCTTTTTTTCCTGCTGATATGTTATCAGTGTAAATTATAAAAAAAGGGAAAAAAGTGAAAGTTCTCCATTGTATACGGTACAGTAATTAGTGTTAATGCTTTGGGGTGTCCTGAATTTTCATGTCTGGTGGGATGGCTAGCTCTTTTTTTTTTTCTTCCTTAAAGAATTTGGAAATTTTGTCTGATGGTTTGGATTTGTGGAAGAGTGATGTGAAATGCCTGCCTTTGCCCTTCTTCTGTAGTAAGACATTACTTGTCAAACTGTGGAGTGGAGGAAGTCTTTTGAAGCCTCTCGAAGGACTTCTTTCTCTATGACATCAAGCTGAATGAGCCTATCGTTACCACACAGTGTGATTCAGTTCTGTTCCTGGTGGTGTTGTGTTCCTTTAGTGTTTACAATATTTTATTAATTGACGTTTCATGACTTTTGTTTTTTACCTTTTTTTAGAACAATTCATTTTAGTAAATGTTTAAAAGTACCCCTTCCCTTGTTGATTTTAGATTGTGTCTAGCTTTAAGACCACCACATCGCGGGCTGTCTGCCAGCTTGTGAAGGAGTACATTGGCCACAGGGATGGCATCTGGGACGTCAGTGTTGCAAGGACACAGCCTGTGGTGCTTGGGACTGCATCTGCTGGTGAGTTAGACACTGGTTTGGGTGGCTTATTAATATGTGACTTTGCTGATAACTTACCAAATTGTCTCACTAGTTGTCAGTAGGACAAGTGGTTCCTGGAAGCAACAGTGTGATGGAGGAGCCAGTTAGATTGTAACATTTGCCTTGATGTGGGAGTTTTACTCAGGCCTAGGGTCTGGTGGGTAAGAATGTCACAGGCACAGTGGATTCCAATTTCTGAAGAAGGAAATACTTCAATTTAACTTAATTGTGGGAGATGAGCATGTGTGGCTAGGTGGCAGCAGTGAGGGAGAGAGACTGATTTGTGCAGCAGTAGAAAGTAGGTACACTGAGGCAAGGGTGATAAAGCCAGATTCAGGAAGGTGAAAGGAAGGAAAAACTCACTCAACTAAAATGCAGTACCAGGAAGGTTTAGAAAGGGAAGCTGAACTGCTTCTGGATTGGGCATTCCTTGTACCCCAGGTCTGGCATACATGCCAGCTTAGGAGAGGATCAGTCTTTTCTGAAGAATGGAATTGGCATTACAGTAGCAGCCTGGCCAGTGGAGTAGGCTCCTGGTCACTCTACTTTCTCTCTGGGTGGAGTAACACAGGGAAGGGAGATACTTTAAATCAGGGCAGAGAAACTGACAGCCAGGCAGAGTGGTATATGAGAGGACATGAGTGAGCCCTTGGAAATTTGAACATAATTGTGTCACTCCAATTAGGGACCTGAATCTGAGAGCTGAGGAAACTGAAGCCCAGGAATATGCAAGTGAGCAGTGTTAGGAGCAGTGGGACCTTTGGGGAAGGAAGACACCAGATCGACCCAGAAAAAAGTACTTGCCCATTTCATACTCATATATCTGGAGTGTTGCGATTACAGGATATCCTGCGGTGTTGTTCGTGCCTGCCAGCAGACACCCACAAGGAGCAGTCAACATCCCCTGTTTGGGACTGTTGAAAGCAGGGAGCCCTGGGTCTGTATCAAGTTTGTTAGCGAGTAAAGCTTTGAGGAGAATGACTGAAAAAAGACTATGGATGGAGAGACAGTGTGGCCTGGGTAATAGGGCATCTGGGGATGCACTAGGTAGAAGGCTTGTGGAGGGAAAGCACAGGTATATGCCGCAAAGGAGTCAGTGAGAGAGCAATGGCAGAAGTTGATGGAGAGTTGGGTTCTGGGCCAATTACACCACACCCTTCCCTCCCCACATTGACTGAGGTGGTTGGTTTTCAGGACAAAGACAAAACCGTATAGTTAGCCATGGCCAGAGCATTGCTAGGAGCCAGAAAGTGGGTCCAGAGAGCCATCAGGATCCACAAGCCTCCTTGCTCATAGGGAGGCAATTAAACCAAAAAGGAATGGGAAGACCGGAACGGGAAGACCAGTGTGGAGACCTGCAGTTGAATTCACACTGCAATGTTAATGAACCCTGAGGACTCTGGTTTTTTGCTTTTGCAACTATAAGAATTTTTGTTTTGTCTTGTTTTGTTTTTGTTTCTTTATTTTATTTTATTTTTTAAATTAATTTTATTTTATTGGTACATTTTAGGTATGTTTCTTTATTTTTTAATTTAATTTTTCCCTTCTCTTTATTTTTATCCCCCTTTCTTTTTTACCTTTCTCTTCCAGTCTTTCCTACCATCTTATCTTTCCTACCTTTGTTTCTTCCTTTCATCTGGATGTGTGTGTGTGTGTGTGTGTGTGTGAGAAGGAGAATAAGAATTAAGCAGGGCATTATGTACTGCCTGTCATGGCCATGTCAGTGTAACCCTCACCAAAATTACGCATATAGAATCTAAATGTAAACTACCAACAAATTAACAGGGTACAGCAGTCTCACAGTTTCTTTCAATCTAATTACACATCTCTCCCTCTGCATCCGTCCTCTGGCTCCCACAGATATTTTTCAAACCCCCTCAGCATTATCCCTTTACTCACATAATTCCAACTGAATCTGATCTCCTGTTTTTCACCGATTGATAGTTCTTTCCTCTTTTTTTTCTTTTCCCCTCCCTCCATATCCCAGTCTAGTACCAGAATAGTACAGTGTATAAGGGGCATTAAAAAAAGAATGAAATTGTTAGACAAGTTTGAGTGTATGTGGTTGGATCTGTTGATATTGTTATAACCAGTAGGGATTCTCTCCTTGCAAAACAGTGACTGGGTTTAATCCTATTAAGCTGAGTAGGTAGTTGAGGTAGCTAAATATCAAAATGCAGACAAAGCCAAGGTCACATCACTGGAAAGTAGACACTAAAGCAAACATACTATTAACAAAGTCCACTCTAACTGATCCTTAACCCTCAGGACAAAAAAACAAAACAAAAAAACAAAAACAAAACCCCAAAAACCCAAGGTAACAAAATGTCTTGAAAAACTCCCAGTAACCCCAGAACAAATCCAAGGGACATAGTTGAGAATGAAATTAAAAAACAAAATGGCTGAATTATATGACATGTTAAGAAGAAACAAACTTGATGAGCTTAAAAAATATAACTAAGAAGATTATGGACTTAATAAAAATGGCCAGTGAATTTAAAAAACACAACAAATATGTAAAAAGCTTATAGAGCTAACCAAAACGATTTAAAACATGAATTTATTAAAGTATTAGTGTTCATGAAAAGGGCCCAAATAGAAATTCAGGAGATGAATTCTATTGAAAGTATGGGCAGCAGAAGTGTCCAGCATTAGGATAGAGTGTGGGACCTAGAAGATAGGCTAATGGGCATGACCGTATACTCAGAGATACCTCAGAAACAACCAGAGAGTAGGGGAAGTGGATCCATCTGCTGCTAGGTGATACCAAGAAGACTAACTTAAGATTAATTGGAGTTAGAAAAAAAGTCAAGACAGCACAAATGGATTAAAAAATTTGTTCCAGAAATTGTAGCCAAAAACTTTCCAAGTATGGGGAAGGAATTTAATGTACAGGTAAGTGAAGCATATAGCTAGGAGCCATGATCAGAAAAGAAGTCCTCCTTGGCACATCCTAGTCAGAGCTGTAGAAGTTGAACACAAGGACAAAATCTTAAAAGGTTAGAGAAAACCAACAAATCACTTATAAAGGTAAACCCACTACCTGGCTCCAGTCAAGTCACAACCTCTCCAATCTTTGTGGAAACTTTTTCCTTGGAGCAGTTAAACTTTAGATTAGTAGAATCAATAGTTTCTCTAGTGTGAGAAACTGAAAGTGTAAATAAGGATTAAAATGATTAAATGAATAATTGATAATTTGAAATAGGAAAAGGTCCAAAGGTGTAGGGGTGGTGGGAGAGGAAGGGGAAAGGGAAGAAGGGAAAGGAAAAATTATGAGAAAAGGAAAAAAAAGTGGAAACAAAATCTATGTAAATAGGGAAAGGTGGAAGGGGTGAAGGACACACAGGTAATGGGGGAAAAATAAGAACTAAGATAACATCATGTTAGGTACAAGCACCCAATGATAAATGTAAATGTATTGTATACCTAAAATGTACCAATAAAAGAATGAAAAAAAATAGATTAGTAGAATCAAAGTTACAAGAAATATTAGTGGTAGCGTAACTTCTCATTTTTAAATACCTACTTTATTCCTTATTCTTTTATTAAAAGGACTATAAATTTGATGATGATGGCTAAATTAATGATTGATGATGGGTAAATTAATGATTTTTCTAATTTTGGTCTTGCAGATCACACAGCTTTGCTGTGGAGCATAGAGACAGGGAAGTGCCTTGTCAAATATTCAGGCCATGTGGGCTCAGGTAAGCATTTACTTCATTGAGTGCTGTAGTTAGAAGCTGTTCACTGTATTGATTAGTTTTAAAATTTTCCATGACTGAAATCAACTATATCAATAGAAAATTATATATTTGATAGAAAGTTTTACCATTTCAGTTATAAGAGGGTAGTGTGGTTTTTGGAGACTAGGCTAAACACTGTCTTCAGCTTGTATGAATTTAACAAAGGGAAAAAGCTTAATGTTTAACAGTATACAAATAATGTTATCTACATTTTATTTAATCTTGTATATAAACCAAATGTAGGAAATTTTATAATTTAACTATATTACTTATTACAAACCATGTATCTATTTTAGAAGTTTACTTTTATGATAATGGCAATTTCATTATGTTTAGGCTAACAAAAGGATAATCTGTATTATTGTGCTTTTTTTGTCTGTAATTTATGCTCCCTACAGTAGCTCTTTTCTGCCTCTTCATTTATGCCTGTGTATGTGCCAGTGTCTTGACCAGATTTCATTCCTCACTTTTGTTCAGCACACCCTGTGAGGCCCTTTCTACCTGGAGTACTCTCATGTCCAGGCTATATCTGTCAGAGGCTGCCTGCCCACTCTTTCGCCTCCTCTGCCAATTGCTGCTGCACCCTTAACCTTTGTAGACAGACTCAGTGTTAGCATTGCCTTTAGGTTGTTCAGAGTTACACATTTGGGTGGATCCTTCATCTCAGCACCTTTCTGCTCAACTTAGTGGTTTTGTCCAAGGCCAGGGCTCTGGGTGAACTGCAGAGTCTTCAGTCTTCCCTTTCTTAGGATCCTCTGTCTTTCAGGTATTTTTGTTATGTTTTGTCTTATTCTTGCCATGGGCTTTTTCTTGTTAGGGTATAAACAAGTTCATACATTTCTCATATTAAACATCCACACTAATTTACATATCTTCATACTGTTTACTTATATATCTTCTTTTCCACCTTATATCCCACAGACTTTAGCTGTGGGATTGTTGTCTTGCCTATAGTTTTCTAATACAATGCTTGAAATAAATAAACAAATAAATTAAAAAATAAGTGCTCAAAAATAGACCTTTGTTAAAAGAATAAATGTTCTCTGCATCATCTAAGATTTCTTAAATTTATTTTTATCACTGCATGTTGCTTAAATTTATTACTTTAAAGGTGTCCACAATTACTAGCTCTTCTTAGTTACCTATACTTTATTATTTATAGTAAAAGAGCATCTTCTATATTTTTCTTTTTTTGTTTTTTGTTTTTTTGGTGCCCGGGATTGAACTCAGGACCTTGCGCTTGCAAGGCAGGTGGTGGAACCACTGAGCTAAATCCCCGGCCCTATATTTTTCTTTTTAGTTTCTTAGAAAAATAAAATTCTAATTGTGTAGCCAACATATTGATGTTGAAATAACTTACTGAAGTTTGGTAAGATTTCTGCTGTGTTCCATGTAAGGGATGTATGTGGTTTTTACAGGATGTGGAAATGAGGGTTGAGCTTCCCCAGAGTGACTTCAGTTTAACTCTTGTGTCAAACTGGCCAACAGTGATTTTAATCCCATTCCAAGAGCTGGGATTTACTTGAGGAAAATCCTAGGTGGGTAGGCGGGCTTGGGATCCGTGCAGTATCTGAGCAGCCTGTTGAGATGAGCTCCAGCCTCTGTGCTGGTTTATTTGCTCGTATTTGCCGTCCTTTTTGCCACCCATGGAGACATCTCATCTACATTCAAAGAAGGAAAAAGTGGAAAAATGAGGTGCTGGAACTCTTTATTCTGGTGTAGCTCCTCTGTTAGGAAAATGAGAGTTTCCAGCCCAGTGTGGTGGTACACTCCTGTAATCCCAGCACTAGGAAGGCGGAGGAGGATTGCCAGTGCGTAGGCTACATAGTGAGTTCAAGGCCAGCCTGAACTACATAGTGAGACTACATCATCAACTCCCCGCCCCCCCAAAAGTTTCCTCAGAAGACCTTCACTGTACCTTTACCTTTTTGTCTCATTGAAGCATCTGGATAAGGGGAATGGGACGATATCACCACTGGTTTAGACTAACTCAATTTGTGCGCTGAGGCTGTGGAAATTCACTCATGGGGTCTCCCCTTATTGTGGGATAGATTGAGGTTCTGTAAGGTAGGAAGGGGAGCAGGGTGGGGCTTAAGGTCAGTTGAGTAGACAATAAGTGGTGTCTGTACACTGTAATTTGCCCTTGCTAGTTGTTGTCACAATGAATGTTTTCTTTTTTTCATCCTCATTGTGTTTAGCTCTAAATAACTTCCCTGTTAAAAGAAATAGATTATTATTGTTCTGTGAGTCCTATAAGAGTAATTTCATAATTCATACTTTTTTATTGTATCTCTATTCTAACTTATTATAGTTGAAGTGAATCAGAGGATCTAATATTGAACTTTCAGAGTTCCTTTAATTTTTGATGTTACTTTGTAGTATGTGTTGTAGCTAATATTTATAACATGTTCTTATTGCTTTAAACCTGTTTATAATATTTTTATTTTGCAGTAAATTCCATAAAATTTCATCCCTCAGAGCAGTTGGCTCTCACTGGTATGTTGTTTTATCTTTATTGAACAAATTATTAATAATCTTAAAACAACTATAGATACTCATTTATTGGTGGCATCAGAATTATCCATGGCTTTTATGAAATTTGGGCATTTTATGAATTAAGTGAGAAATGAATAGGCCTGGGAAGGGAGCTCAGTGGTTGCTGCGCCTGCCTGGCAAGCGCAGGGTCCAGAGTTCAATCCCTGGTACTGGGGAAAAAAAATGAGAAATGAATTAAAAAAAATACACAGAGTAATGCTTTTTAAAATTAATGTGGATCACCAATTAGAATGAGTTGAATTTATTGTGCTATTAAAGTAAATTCTTATTCTTTTTTTTTTTTTTGGTACCTGGGATCGAAACAAATTCATATTCTTCTTGGAGTCTTTTTTTATAAAGAATTTTAGTATTGCCTATGACACGGTTCTTTGAAGCTCTGTTACTGTTTCCTAATTTTGTATTCATCTAAAATAAAGAAATGAGAAAAATAATACTCAGAAAGAGCAATTTTTTTCAGTGTCAGCATTTTCATTTCTTTCTAGATAATTTACCTGTACTGTAGTAACTTAGATTTGGCATATTCTGTATTGTGGTTTTAAAAACACCTTCATTTGTTCCTTTTGGAGGGTAGCCTTAATGTAGTGAGAATATTTTCTATAAAACTGTTAAATACCTGCAGAGCCCTGTGATATTTTGGGGTAACTGGTGATTACTTTGAGGAATATGTAAAGGCTTGATAGATCAGAGGTAAACACGGTTTCTGTGAAGGACCAAGTAGTATTTTCAACTTTGTGACTATAGAGGTCTCTGTCACAACTGCTTAGCTCTGCTCTTATAGTGTGAAAGGAACAGAGACAGCACACAGATGACGAGATTCAGCTGTTTATTTACAAAAAATGGGTGGTTACCTGGATTTGGCCTATCAGATTTTGTTGATCACAGAATAGAACATAAGAGTTGAGATGACCAGGTGCTTCATGCACGTGGAATTGTTTAGGCAGGGAGCTCAAGTGTGAGTGCTTTTACTATGTGAGATGCAGTAAGTTACTCAGTTTGGTAAGATAATTTTTATATGTGAGAAGCATATGGTGGGAAGTTAATTTGACAGTCATTTTCCCAGGCCTAGACCATAATAGCTAATTTATACCTTAGTAAATATTTGAGGAGTAAAGTTGGAATTTAAGCCTTATTACGTTGCTGGGAAACAGGAGAGAAGCCAGGAGACCAGTGGCAGTTGGATCTGTGTAGACATAAACCAAAGGGCTAGAAAGGAGGGGTGAAACCAAGAAACATTTCAAGAAGGAACTGATAGAAACTTTGAAACAAGTAAAGTAATGGGGTTGGATATAGAGAGAGGAGAGTTAAACTGCAATTTCTATGTAGTGTTGACCTAAAGAGAAATTGGCAAGTCAGGGTAATAAGTTGACTTCTGCCATTAAAAAAAATATACTGCTGTCAGCACTTAGTATCTTCTTCAGGGGAGCTCTGCAGCAGTGAAGAGAAGACAGAAGATAGATATTTTTTCTGTGAGGGGTGAAACCTGATTGTTTCGGTATATCTTAGGGCCGCCTGTAGTGATATCCTTTGTCTTTTAATTCCTAAGTCAAAGCATTTCCTTAAAAGTTTTAGTTGGTGCAGAGAGGAGTAGGGAAGTGGCACAAATAGTAGTAAAAATCTGTGCCTGGCAAATTATAAAGTCCTATCAATGAGTAGATGAGAATTTCTTGAAACATCTCCCAATCTATTATAGTGACAAGTTACAGTATAATTGAATTTCTCTTAGGTAGATAGAAAATAAAATCTGCCATTTGTAAATTTTTTTCTGAATCTCTGCACTTTTCTACCCCCAAATGAAAGGGGAAACATCTTTATAAGTAATTATAATCCTAATTTTGCGCATTTACTCTGTTCTTCATAGCGTAGTCTTGTATAGTTCTTGTATAGTCTCTGAAATGGCTAAAGTACATTCATTTTACTAAATGATCACTGTTAGAAAAAAAGTCTGGTGATGTTTAGTAGAGCATAGCAGAGAGCACATTTTATGTTTGGTGTGTACATTGGGTAATTTTCCCCCAATTTTTCTCTTCAGCCTCTGGAGATCAGACTGCTCATATTTGGAGATATGTGGTACAGCTGCCGACACCCCAGCCTGTTGCCGACACTAGTGTAAGCACATTTACTTACCCTGAAAACTCAACATGGGCCTACTAATGTAGGATTCTGAGCATTTGCCAGTTTTAGAATAAATTTATAGTACCTACTATGCACTGAATGTGCCCCCTCCCTCTGTCCCCAAATTCATATGTTAATGCCCTAATCTCCAGTGTGACTATATTTGAAGATGGGTCCTCTAGGAAGTAATTAAGGTTAAATGAGGTCATAAGCATGGAGCCTGATCTGAGGAAATTAGTGTCCTTGTAGGAAGGGACATATCTGACATTGTGGTTAAGTGCATGTTCACTGTCCCTCACTGTCGCTCATTCTTTCTTCCCCCACTCATATGAGGACAGAGTGAGAGGGAAGCCATCTACAAGCCAGGAAAAAAGCCCTCACCAGAAACCAAATTGTTAGGAATCTTGATCCTAGACCTCTGACCTCTAGGACTATGAAAAAATTAATTTCTGTTGTTTATAAGTTACACAGTCTGTGGTAATTTGGTATGGCAGCTGGAGCTGATTAAGATAGATTTTGGTGGGCCAGGGATTTAGCTCAGTGGTTCCAGCACCTGCCTTGGAAGCGCAAGGTCCTGAGTCCGATCACTGGTACCAAAAGAAAAAATAGATTTTGGTACCAGAGGTGGGATGCTAACATAAGAAATACCTAAAAATGTTTATTTAAGTGGCTTGGAGGCATTTTGAGATACTTGCTAAAATAAATATAGATTGCCATGAGGGGATTATTGACAGAAACATAGGTGTTAAAGATGATTCTGGTGATGGCTGAGGAAGAAAAGAGGAGCATTGGAAAGGAAGCTTCTGTGTTTTAGAGATACACACTTATTATGAATAAGAATGGTGCAAATATATACATAAAAGGCTATTCTGGTGCAGTCTGAGAAGGAAATGAGAAAGAGGTTATTGGAAACTGGAGAAATGGTCATCCTTATTAAAAAGTACCAAAGAACTTGGCTGAACTGTGTCCTAGTGTTTTGTGGAAGGTAGAATTTCTAATTTCATGATAAACTCAGATATTTGGCTGAGAAGATTTCTGAGGAAAGTGTTAAAGCTGTGGCCTGGTTTCTCTTGACTGCTTAGAGTAAAATATGAGAGAAAAATTGAAGGAATTGTTCAGCAAAAGGGAACTGGAGCTTGAAGATTTGGAAAATTCTCTATGTGTATTGTAGAAAGTAGAAGGCTTATTCTGAAGAGAAGACTTAAGAGTGTGGCTGAATATCCATTTGATGAAGAGGTTAGTGTAAGTGTGAACTTCAAATCACCTACTGCAGCAGTAGTTAGGAATAGAGAAGTAATAATTCTAGTGGAGACACTGCCAAGTGAGAGTAAAGGAACCAGAGAATACAGAATAAAATAAAGATTGCCAAGATTCTACAAGCACCAGAAAATAGCTGTGTGGCTCTGAACACCTATCATCGGTCATTTGGAGATTGACAGGGCTGCTACTTCCACTGCAGACCCGGGGAACAAGGTTGGTTCCTCTTCAGTTTCAAAGGTGCCTATTTGGTGTCTGGGGGCCAGAATACCACAGCCCAATGCCCATAGAGGTGGGGATGCCCAGCTGAGCCATGGGGTAATGATGGCACCTTTTAGGTCTGGAGGGCAGAACATTGAGCCAAAGAGCCCTAAGATTCTTGAGCCTTCAAGTCTAATGGAATTTACCTTGTTAGGTTTTGGATTTGCTTGGGACTTGTTTTCCCTTCCTTCTTTCCTATTTCTCCTTTTTGGAATGGGGTCTTTTAGCTATCCCACAGTTGTATTTTGTAAGAAATATAATTCAGTTTTGGTAGTTCACAGCTGGAAAATAATTTTGCCTTAGGATGAATTGCACCACTAGTCTCACTCATACACAATTTAGGTGATATTTTGGTAAGACTTTGGTCTTTAGGTTTGAGTGTTAATGCTGGAATAAGTTAAGATTTGAGGGGCTTTCGGGCTAGAATGAATGTATTCTGCCATGTAAGGTCATGAAATTTAGAAGACCAGGGAAGAATGTTGTATAGATTAAATGTTTGTGTCTCTCCAGAATTCTTGTTTTGAAGCCCTAATCCAAAATGTGGCTGTATTTGGAGGTAGGGCCTTTAATGAAGTAGTTAAGGTTAAGAGAATTCAAAAGATTGGGATACTCATCTGATAAGACTAGTCCTTAGAAGAGACACTAGTGAGCTCACTTTCTCTCTCTGTCCCATCATTTGAGGACACAGAGAAAAGGTGACTATCTGCCAACCAGGGCAAGAGTTCTCACTTAATACCCAGTTGGTTGGTACATTTATCGTGGACTTCTGCTTTCTAGAACTGTTATAGAAAATAACTTTGTGTTGAAGCCACTTAGTAGTATTTTGTTTTGGCAGCTCAAGCTATGACAAGATCTTAAAAAGAAGTATCTTTATTGGGCCGAGGATTTAGCTCAGTGGTTCCTCCGCTGCCGGCTTTGCAAGTGCAAGGTCCTGAGTTTGATCCCTGGTACCAAAAAAAAAAAAAGAAGTATCTTTATTTATATAGGCATCTTTTTGCTTTAGCCTTCTAACATTCATCTCTTTAAATTTTATGTTTTGCCAGGCATGGTGGTGCCTGTAATCTCAGTACAGGCTGAGGCAGGAGAATCACTGTGAGTTCAAGGCCAGCCTGGGCTACATAGTGAGACCCTGTCTCAAAAAAAAAAAAAAAAAAAATTTATGTTTAGATTATATTTCTTGAAGTTTTATGTATATATTACTAGACACGTTTTTTGCCTTTGACAGATTTTTATTACTGCCTAAGTTGATGGCTTGTAAGGAGGCATTATCATTTTTATGTGAGTAAAATTTTAACATAGTTAACAAAAGATGTTGCATAATGAATTAATATGAAAGAAATCCTTAAATTACTGTTTGCTTTGTGCTGATAGGTAACTTCAGCATGAGTCTCTAGATGTATGATCAAGCAAAGGCTTTAATTCTCCTTTGATGAGTATCTTCAACTAGTTTTTTTTAATGTAAATTTTAGAGATATTGTCATCATAGTCGGTTACCCCTTTCCTGTGCTGTATAAGGCAGTGGAAATGGTGACAGCGAATGGTTGTATGGAGTCAAACACAAATCTATAAAGTTACAGTTTGTGTTGGGCTGTGATTGTGAGGATGATAGTAATCTTCTAGTTTTGATATTTCTGTCTTTGAATATTAGTTTTCTGCTTTACAAACAGTCTAAACATTATTCTGTTTGGAGATAGGTTAACATTTAATTCCTTAAATGAGTTTTATTTAGTTGAGAGGTCTTGCCTGTTCATTTCATATTAGCATATAGTAGTCCCTGTTTATGGAGTTTTGCTTTTTTGAGATTTCGGTTACCTCAAGTGTGGTCTGAAAATATTAAATGCAAAATTCCATAAATACATAATTTGTAAGTTCTAAATAAAATTTTAACAAAATATCATTACTATTCTGTTTTAATTGTAATAACAATTACTGTTAGTCACTTACTATGCCTAATGTATAAATAGGTATTTATAAATTTGTCATAGATATGTATGTACTGTATAGGAAAAAGTAGTACATACCTGTATAGGGTTCAGTACTATCTGGTTTCATACATCTGCAGAACTTGGAGTATATCCCCTATGGATAAGGAATGACCATTATGTATTTTAACAGTTATTTTCTCCCTTGTAAAATTACCAAACAGTTCATTATATGGCATACTTAACTTGTACATTCATTTAAGAAGCAAGCAAAATGAGCAATGAAGGCAGAGAAATGAAGGTGAGGATTAATGTTCAGAAAATTAAAAAAATAACATCATTTGGATTGTTTTCAAATAAAATAATTTAAAAAGCACCAATTTTGTTAGAGGGAAGGTTTTTGTTTAGTATGTGAATTGAAAAACACTTAATAATTTACTTTTAATATTAATTTTATTCTTTGTTACTTTGCTTGCATTCTGTACATAAACTTTTCTTGCAGGATAATTGCTATCTGTGGATTTGGGACTAATGTTGGGGGGACTGAGTCTGAATTAAAGCTGAACTTGTAATAGACACTATAACTTGATCAGTAACTTGAGCTGCTTTAGAAGCACCGCTGAGGATGGCTTCTACTTTGACCTGCCCAGTAGGTACATATTGTTGAATGCATAGTTCTTTTGTTGAAAGCATCTTTTTTTCTTAAACTTTGTACTGGTCAGCCTTCACTCAGATTTGCTTAGCAGTTCTATTCGTAGATTTTACAGTAAACTCTAATCTGTTAAAGTCTGTGTTTATCTTGAATCAGTACAGCTTTCCCACAGATATTTTCATCAGTGAGTTTTACTCGACCCACAGTGTTAATAAATATTTGGGTGATATAGCGTAAACAGATTTAGATCACCAGTGAAATGTCACACACTAGTTCTGTGACGTTGAGTCATTAATTTAACTAGGAGGCTTGATTTTTTTCCCCGTTTGAAAGTAAAATGGAAAGGTGTTAACTGAAAGTTTTCTAATGGCCCTTGAATATTGTTTCACATTTTAAAACATGGATCCTGCCAGCCAGGTGCTCCAGGACTCCTTTCTGAGCCCCTGTACTGTGTAGCCCTTTGCGCATTCCTTCTAGGAGACTCTTTCATGTGCCAGTCATTAACCATTACCTCAGCTGAATACATGGTCTTACTCTCAACCCTCCCCAGATGTTTCCTCTCTAAGGAAGCAGCTCCATTGTATTCCTAGTCATTTATTTCCTTCCATAAAAAAAATATTTAGTGACTAGCCCTTTGAGTTCACGGTTCTAGGTCAAAGGTCCAGCAGTTCACAAAAGTGTCAGAAAGTTTGCGTTCTCTTTGACACACCACTCTATTTTATCCTCCCCAATCCCCGTTTTCAACCAACCCATGAAATTTTACTGATTTCAGGTTTTTTTTTCTTTCTCTTTTCAAGATGGCTGGAGGTCTTAAGTTGCCTAAGCTAGCCTTAAACTTATCCTCCTGTCTCATTCTCCTGGCTAGCTAGGAATACAGGAATGCACCACTGTCCCTAGCTTTGATTCTAGTTCTTGAATCTCTTTTTCTTTATACTGGGATACTTCTTCTGCAGCATGTAACAGGTTTTCTCTGAGCACCTGTGAAGCACCCTGCTTTAGAGGTCACATCCATACTCTTGTCTGCTGGAACCCTTGCAGCTGTTCACACAGTTGTCCACAGAGGCACCTGACTATTGAGCTGTCTAGACCCGTGCTCTTCTTCTGCATCCAAGGGTAGCACAGGTGCAGGTGACTAGGGGTCTTTGTAGTGGCTGCAGTTGGTAAGAAGCTGTATGGCTCAGGACCCAGTGCTTCCTGAAACACTCCATGGGCACAGCCAGGGGTAGGGTTCTGACAGGTGCCAAGCTGCATCAGTCCCATCAGGAATTTATGATGACTGGACTCCTCCTTGCCTAGGTGCAGTTTATCCACTAGGAGTCATTTTACCTTGAGTGGAAGGACCTAGGAACGAAATTCTTATGCAGAAGGAAAGGGTTTTGTTGACTCTTTACTGTTCCGCAGAGTTATAAGTCTGCATCTTCTCTAGCCAGATCACTGCAGTTTTTTCATAACTAGTCTTCTTCAGGTACTGGGCCTTTGATTGCCCCTGATGAGTCTTTTTTGTATTCTTTCATCACTGTCCTCCCTGCTTCACCCCAAACTGAGCTCAGCTACTCTTCTGCCCTGTACTTATCTCTTTCTCTTCCTTTCTTGAGCCGCTTCCTCACCTACCCCAAACTCCTCATCCTTCATGTCACTAAGATCTGACTTCCTTGAAGAGTTAGATCATGTTTATGTATTCTCAAGTCATCCTGTACTTTTTCTTTGTAGCTGGTAGCATAATCTGAAATGGGTAGTTTATTGCATAATCATTTGTGTTGATCTTGCTCAGTAGATTGCAGATCCTTTGTCCCTGGAGAAATCCTAATTTTGGTTAAATCCACTTTTCCTCTTTCTCCTGCATTCAACTCTTAGGTTGAATTTGTGGCCTCTCATGTCAGTCAGGCCCTGTGCTGTGACATTCCCATTTCATTTTCCAATCCTTCCTCCCTCCCAGCTTATTCTTTGAGAAGATGGAATCAGTTGGAGAGAGCTCTGCACCCTCTTCTCCCAGCTATGTCCTCATGACACTGGCTGTCCTCTTACACTCCTTGGGGTGTGACCTTGCCTCCATCATTGAAGTCCTGTTCCCTCTTCTCTTGTGGATGTTGTTCATGCAGTGATTTCTTCTGTCCTCAGTCATTGGAGTATTCTTTCTCAGGTCCTTCCCACATCTGTCCCATGTCTTATCTAGAACTAGCACCTCATTGGTTTTCCCACCCTCACCTCAGAAGTGTTACCTGCGTTCCTTTGTGTCCCACTGCACTATCCTCAGACCTCCTTTGTGTCCCTGCTGCTCTGCTGGGCCTCCATCATGGTCCCCATCCTCTCCATGTTGCTCACCCAGCAAACATTTTTTTTCTTTTTAAAAAAATTTAAAAAATGTATTTCAACACAGGGTTTCACTAATTTGCTCAGGTAGGACTCTACCTTGTGATTTTTCAGCTTGTCTCAGTTCTGGGATTGCAGGCATGTGCCATTGCACCTGGCAGATACAATAGTTTGAAGCTGCTTTTTGGGCTTTGTCATTGCATTTATTAACTGTGGCTCTCCCTCCAACACACGCCTTGTTTTTCCTGTTTTCTTCATTCCTCTTAAGTCTTGTTGGTACAATGTCTCTTCTCTGAGGCTCCACCACTCACTGGTGTGTAGTTCCCTCCTGACACTCTGTTGTTCATCTGTTTTACACTAGTTCCCAGGTGAACTCAGCACCTATGGTTTTGAGAACCATCTGCTGCTGCTGGCTCCCAGATTTGCATATTGTCTCTGACTCCTTTTAAATACACATTTCTGTAGTCACCTAACTACTCACTCCAACTCTAACTGGGTGTCCTGTAGACATTTCAGACCTGCTGTATCTGAAATTGGGTTCTGGATGTCTCCCAAACTTGCTCCTTTTGTTGTGCTGCCCACTTCAGGAAATGTCACCCTCATTTTCTCAGTGCTTTGGACTTACTTTGCCTGTGAACTCCTGCATTTTTTTCATATTCCATGTGATATCAGCCTATCTGCTAATCCTGAAGCTTTACTCAGGGTGTTTTAATCAGCTTTTCTTTTTAACCTCCATCACCACCATCCTAGTCCAGGCCACCTTCTTTTACCTGTCCTCTGTAATCATTCACTTTCTCTCTTGTTTTCCTGGGATGCTGTGACCAAAAAGTACAGTTGGACAGCTTCAATGACAAATCTGTTATCACAGTCCCAGAAGCTGGATGTTCCAGATGAAGACGGCAGCAGGATTGCTTTCCTCAGAGGCTTCTGTCTGTGGCTTGCAGATGGTCACCTTTTCACCATGTCCTTACATGGTCCTGCCTTTTTGTGTTCTAATTTCCTCTTAAAAGATACCAATTATCAGCTGGGTGCAGTAGCACACTCCTGTAATCCCAGCACTTGGTGAGGCTGAGGCAGGATGGCAAGTTCAAGTCCTGCCTGGGCAATTTAGTGAGACTTTGTCTCAAAAACTAACAAGGGTTGGGGATGTAATTCAGGTCTAAGGCCCTTGGCTCATTCCCCGCTACTGGAAAAAGGGGTGGAGGGGAGCACACCAGTTATATTGGATTAGAGGCTATTCTAATGACCTCTTTTTAACTTAAGTATCTCCCTAAAGGCCGTGTTTCCACATACATTCTGAAGTTCTGATGGTTAGAGCTTCCATGTTATGAGTTTGCAGGAGACACAGTTTAGCTTATGTTTTTCCCTTTGTTCACAGAGCATAAATGAGATTATATCACAGCTGTGCTTAATTTTCCATCACACAGAGGATACAACCGAAAGTTCTTTCCATGGTCTACCATAACCAAGTTTTGCACAACTTCACCTGTGCCTGCCCTCTCCTTGCACTGTGTCCCACGCACACTGACAACCTTGGTTTGTGTAGCATGGAGGCCATTAGACATATTTCCTCTGCCTATAATGCTATTCCCTCCAATTTGCATGACTCAATCCCTTGTTTTCTTCACAGTCTGACTCAAATGTTACCTTGTCAGAGTCTTTCCTCAATGATTCTATATAAAATAGCTCCTTGACCACCCTTTGTCTTGTTGCTTTTCTTCATAGCATTTGTTGCCATCTGTGTAAACATACATATTTCCTTACTAGTTTGTATGCACATGACATATTCTCTTGTATGTTTGTGTTCATATGACACATTCTCATGGTAGTGTGTAGATACATGTGATACACATTCTTATACTAGAGTGTGTGTTTACACCATGCACATGTGTGTTTATATGTGTGTAGTCTCTTCCTCATTAGACTAAAAGTTCTTCGAGGGCAGAGACTTTGCAGGACTTGTTTATTCCAGCTTTCTAGTCACCTGGAATGATCATAGTCTTACATATGACAGATATCATCTGTCCCCTTCACTGATTTGTAAATAGTACCCAGTCTGTTTGTAAATACCTCATTGATATTTGTTGAATAAACATATTTTCTCAGAGCTGGTTATTATGCTCTTATCTGGGGCTTTTGACTAGAGACTTCATTGATCGCATAGTAAAAGTTATTTTAATTTAGAATTATTTTAGAATTCAAAGCCTGTATTTTAAAGTCTTCTAAGAATTGAAATGCATTTTTTGTATTGTGATAAATTACTGACTTTTAGTTGTTTCAGTTTTATATTTCTATTAACAAGTGGTAAAAACTTTACTGAAAATAGTTTTATTTGTCATTTTATTGGTTAATGGAAATGAATTATAGTTCATTTGATGTTATAGTGCCCTTAACTTTTTTTTCTGTTATTTGGCTTTCAGTTATAGCCAGTCATAAAAAGTGATAAAAAAAATTGATCACTAGTTATGTATTAGACACTGTGTTTGTATTGGTCATAATGATGAGTAAGTCCATGATAAATAAGTTCTAGAAAGAGAAAGAATAGTCTCATGTTGTAGCCATGACAGAAAAATATTCAAGATTCCCAGGAAATCTTTCTTTTCTGATTTTACTCTTAGCAGCAACTATCTGGAGAAGATGAAATAGAATGCTCTGATAAAGATGAGCCTGATATCGATGGGGATGTGTCCAGTGACTGCCCTACCATTCGGGTTCCACTGACATCTCTCAAAAGCCACCAGGGAGTGGTCATAGCTGCCGACTGGCTGGTTGGAGGGAAGCAGGCAGTGACAGCCTCATGGGACAGAACAGCAAACCTATATGATGTCGAGACGTCTGAACTTGTTCATTCTCTCACAGGTACCTCATTGAGAACATTGAACTTCCTCACTGGGTGCTGTCAATTTATGTTCATGTATTTAAGTCTGATCTTGCAAATTATTTCTCACCAGAATTGCTTTTAGTCTTCTTGGCTCTTCTGTTGTAATTTTTGGAGATCTTTTCTAATTAATGGAATAATGGTAGCTAAATTTATTTTAGCTTTAGAAGATTAATTGTAGCATATAGTAGCTATTTAAAATATGGTTGTTGCATCAGTTTTCTATTTCTCTGTGACAAATTTCTACAAATTTAGTATATTAAAACAGAATTTCCTACTTCATGGTTTTCTTTCCAGGATTTCTAGGTCCATGGTAGCTCCCATCTGGGCCTGGGGCCTCAAAGACTGAAATGAAGGTATTGCCCAGGCTGGACTTTTCTTCTGAACTTGCTAGTTGGGAGAATCCATTTCCTCACAACCATGTGACTGAAACTCCACAGGTTCTTTAGATGAGCACTGCTCTGAGCATTTAGAGGCCACTTCTTGGTTCCCGGAGACCTCTCTAAAGGCCTTTCCCCACATGGCAGTTTGTTGTCTTCTAGACTAGCAGGAGTATACCTCCACTGCTCTAAGTCCTCCAGCTTCTTTGAGGGCCTGGACCCTTTGAAAAGGCCCTCCTGCTTAGTTCAGGCCACCTAACATACCCTTTCTTTTAATTAACTGAAAGCCAACTGTGTAACATCTGTGAAATTCTTTTTGCCCTATAATGCATCATCATTACTCTTTCACCATATTTATAATTTCTACCCAAATGCAAGGGAAAAGCATGTACACAGCATGTATTTTACCAAGGGCTCACAGTATTATGCCATTAGAATTTATTCTAGAGGTGAAGAATTGAGATTTAAATTGTACTTAGCCTATTAAAGTGATTGGTCTGGCCATGTAACTGTTAGGATTTGAAAATGGATGGTACATGTATCTGGTTTCCTGCTTCTTTTAAATGGGTGGCTGAAGAGGCTTCCAGCTTAGGAGGGAAACTGGTCCCACTGTGAATCCACATGTTATTGAATGATTCCTTTAGGTTTACCTTTCCATTAGATATTAGCAGTGGAGCCCATAAAGATGTGTGTTTTTTATTGTTGTGTTTTTAAAAAGCTTCACTCTGTATCGGCAGGTGGATGACCTTGCGTTTTTGTCATCTTCTGGTTGCAGGGCATGACCAGGAGTTAACGCACTGTTGTACACACCCCACCCAGCGGCTTGTGGTGACCTCCTCTCGTGACACGACTTTCCGCCTCTGGGATTTCAGGGACCCTTCCATCCACTCTGTGAATGTTTTCCAAGGACACACAGAGTGAGTTGCGGTCATTCACATTTCTTACCTAGTTATGAAAAAGTTTGTGGATTGCCATTAAAACTTAATTCTAATCTTAGTTTTCAGTATTTACACTTTATTCTTTTTTAAAAAGACTGTTCTTTTCCTTAGCATTTAGTTCCACTTTTCAAAGGAATTTGGAGATTAACACATTCCTGCTGGCTTGAACCACCAGTGGTACATATAAGACTGTCCCATTGTATGGCTCCTACCACTGGCAGTACAAACAGATTTAATCATTTCTATTTATCTTTTTACTAATAAAACTAATGAAAAGTCTGTAAATGGACTCAATCCAGTTATGGTAGTTGCTTGAATTTGAATAATTACTGCCCAAATATAAATATTATTCATACCAAGTAAAATTATTACAATAATCAAATTTATTTCATTAAATTAAAAGAAATTTATTTATATTTGTGAATTTCTTTAGAAGTATTTTATACGTAAAGGTGGCTGATTTGTGCAGAGTGTGCAAAATGTCATAACACGTTGGGCTTTTTTTTTTGTTTTTGTTTTTGTTTTTTGAGACAGGGTCTCACTATATAGTTCAGACTGGCCCTGAACTCACGATGTAGCCCAGGCTGGCCTTGAACTTGTAGCAATCCTCCTGCCTCAGCCTCCCAAGTGCTGGGATTATACGCACGTGCCACCATGTCTGGCTATTGGCCTTTTTTTTATGGCCACAGCAGCACCCATTTTTTCAGATAGTCACACATGTACCACCAGTGGTTCAAGCTGGTGGGACGATCAAATTCAGCTGTGAATGTGCTTAGAGATGACTGATGTTCTCTAAAGAAATTGGATGGGGATGGAAAGGATCCGAGGGAGGATGGAGGTAAAGGAAGAATTAGGAAGTAGTCTAGGTTTGGTGGGAAGGATGGTCACATCATCTTCAAGTGGCTCTGATTGACGGTGTTTGCAGCCACTCACAAGTTATCTTAGTGCATTTTTAAAAATCTGGTTTTTGTTATTACATGTATTTGCAGGGCATATTCTGGGAAGTGTCCACAAACATAAACAAGCACTTGTAAGCATAGACCCTCCGTCTAGTATTTGTCCCTCTGCTTGGATTTCTTTCAGGCAACTTGAGTATGAGGATATCTTAATTCTTTCACAAAGTTGTTTTTCTCCTAGTCTGATCCTTCTCAGTAAATGAGAAGACCATTTGTCTAGTTCTTCATGACACAGACCTTGGGATATTTCTTGATTCTTCTTTTTTAAAACTCTCTTTCCCTACTCCTCCATGTTGTTCCCCGTCTATCCAGGCATACCTCACAAATACAGTATATTCTGTGTATTGCTGCCCTTGCACCTCTGTTCTTTCCAGACTCTTACTGATTCTTATGTGGATGACTTGCTTGTCCTGCTTAATACCGTGATGTTTAGAAGGGTACCTGCCTATAGTACTTTTAAATGCATGAATAACTTGTTCATTTGGTTACTTGCAAAATCTGAGGTTTAGCATTAGATACTAAGTTTTAGACTTACTGTTGAAAATGTTAATAAAATGTTTGAAAGGAAAATAAGACAAAGTTTTTTATGAAGTTTGAGATTGAAAAACAAGTAGTGCCTCGAATCTGAGGTCCTGAAGGACTGTTAGTGGTCAGCAATTTGAGTGTGCATTGAGATCTTCATGTATGTAGCGATATCTGTTCTAGGAGGCTTTCTTGTGTTCAGTCATTTCGTCATAGCATCAGGTCTATTCTACTGTGTTGAGCAATGATGACCATAGTAGCAGTCAGTCTTTATCTTCTCGTGACCTGAACACAGCACAGGCTGCTGCTTTCTCTTGCACAGTACAGGTCCAGCTGTACCCCTGGAGCTCCGCTTTTGGACTTCAATCCTGTATTCCTAACTTTCTGGTGACTAGGAGGTCATGGCTGGGGGACAACTGCTTCCTAGCCAAATTAGCATGGATGAGACTCTCCTTGGCAGCCACCACCTGTAGAGGGGACCCAACTGCAAAGTATCAGGCAACACTGTGTGATGTAGATAGAGTGAGGCCTTTTCTGCTGCACCTCTGTTTGTCCCTGGCACATACTCTAAGGCCTAGAGAGCAGAAGGCCTGAGGATTCCAGCCCAGACAGTCTTATTCCTGAACCTGCAGACTTTTTTCTAACAATTTTGTTTTGAAAAGTTTCAAGTTTACCTAAAAATTGAAAGACTAGTATAGTGAATATTCAGTTTACTCTTCAGATTCATTTGTTTTTATTACACATTTGTTTTTTATTTCTTTATTTTTCTGCATATACACATTTATCTGTCTATATAGAATATATATTTATATTTATTTATTTTATTTTTGCGGTACTTTTATTTATTTTTTGTGCAGAAAGAAATGAGAATATATCACTGAGAGTTGATGGGAGTGTGTGATTTACCTTTCAAGGTTGTTTCAGCAGTATGTTTTTCATTTGCATTCCTCTGGTTGTGATGTTTGGGGGATGTTTGAAATATCTAATTAGTGGTATATTTTTGCAGCTGATCAATATGAGGATTACACCTGGTTATGAAGGAGTTCTTCATGTAGACTTAGGAATATGATTTTTAACTTAGTCTTCTAAGTTATGGTTTAGATTCATTTTAACTAATAGAATGAAAGTTTTAATGAAAATAGAATTTATGTGCAAATCTTATTCTTATTTCTTTATTTTATTAGTACATGTTTGAAGTACATAATGTTTACATTCATTATAGGGAGTAGGTACATGTTTTTAACATGCCTTAATTCTTTTTATTCCTCTTCCTCTCCCCTTCCTCCCCATCTCTAGATCCCCTTCCCATTTGCAAAAGATCTATCTTCCTATTCCCTTCTGTCTTTTATTTTAAGAAATTTTTTATATTTTGGATTTCTCATAGAAGAGAAGTGTTATTCTTATTCAGATTATTTACATTTTCTCTGTTCTTCATCAGAAGTGTGAACTGCCATATTTTACTGATGTGTAGGTACAGAAACAAGTTTTAGAAAGTTCTTT